CCTTCCCGATCCACATCGACGCAAACCGTTCAAAGGCCCGAACAACCGGTTCAAACTCCACTATTTCCGTATCTTCCAGCCGAAGATACGATGACCCACTGCCCACTTCGTCGGCGCGGCCACCGTTCTCGCCTTCGTCTTACATGCTGAAGTCGGCCTTTGAACAGATCCCGGTCGAGCGGAGCGTCTCATGTTGCCAAGTGCAGAGCGACCGCAGGGCATGTGCGTCGAACAAATGGACCGTTTGATTGTGATCATAATCCGAAAATACGAGACGAAGTGCAAGTAATGATGTGAAGTATGAACAGGTTTGACATTGAAGACTGCTACAATGCAGTCTGAAAGCTCGAAAAGGTGTAGATTACAAGTTTGATAGCGTGTGCGTGAAGCGTCCAACATGACATCCATATCCCTCTCTTGCAACTTTCCACGTATCAAATCCCCTCTCTTCTGACCGGCACCGCTTATCCAACGGCCCCCAACCACACCTCCACCTCTACCACACCGCATCCCCAGACGTAAGAAAACTCAAGCAAGACGCACGCTGCAGTCTAGACTTTTAGCGCAGATAGTGCGCGTGTGATGTGTGTGATGTGATGATTACTAGCGGCATGTAAGCCTCGTCCAACCCAACGGTGACCCCTGCCACCTCTCTGTTCCGACTATGGGAACTTTCCGATCTTGTACCACCTCTGTATCGTCGCACACCATGCATCCGGAGAGCCGATGATGGTGGCGCATGCATGCATGTCGATAACCGCTTCATACACGCAGCTCTGATCTGGGAAACAAACGCAATGGATGACGAAGCAAGCCCGCCGAGGAACGCCGCCAGGAGGGATATATGTCGATGGATGACGAGATAATAATGAGAGAGATAGGTCGCAATGTACAGGTAGCTAGCGTAGCTGAAAAGTGGAATGCAATAGGCGAATGCAATTTAGAAGTTGGTTGCGACGCCACTGTTCCCTTGCTGTGGGAACACAGAGGGGTTCTCAATCCTCGTGTTTCGTCGGGCTGACACATCTCGTATTACTGGCTGCTGCCCCGCGCCGTATGCGTTGTTGCCGCCGTATGGGCCCTCCTGGTAGCTGCCATACCCTTGCTCGTAGTACTCCTGTGGGTTGTTCATGGGCATGCCGGGGTACTCGCCAGAGTTGTCGGAGTGGTTGGCTGCAGAGTAGGACGACGATGCATTCGAGGGGCCACGGTGTACGCCGCTCTGGTTATTGGCAGTAGGAGCGGCACCAAGTGCAGCGATGCCATCAGAGTCCAGGGTCTCGCGGCGTCCATTCACAAGTGGGTCGTTCGAATTGGCGTCGGAGTAGGCGTTTGTAGGCGAGTTGGGGCTAGCATATCCTCCAGGGTTGCTGTTGCTGTCCGAGTAGGTCATGCCGCTAGTGAGGGTAGTAGAAGCCTTGCGGTTCGAGCTGGTCGTGGTGTTGCCCCAGCCTCGGTAGCCGCTCGAGTCCTCCGCCATCTCGGTCTGCATGCCAACAGCTGGCAGCGTCGGGTCATGGTTGGGGTTGAAGCCATACTCTTCCACCTCTTTACGGCGCTCGTCCTCATTGTTCTTCCGCTGCTTGCGTTTCCGCCAGAAAAGGATGGCACCAAGCACGAGAAGTGCGACGACGACAACAGGAATGACAACTGCAATAGCTGTCCTTCCTCCAGTGCTCAGTCCACTCGAGTTCTCTTTCCTTGCACCCTGGAGCTGAGTGGAATCAGTGCTCGTTGGGCTAGTTGAGCCTGTTGTGAGGGTGTTGGAATGCTGTGAGTTCTGGGTGGGTGTCGATACGAGAGTGACTGTCACGACTGCCGGTGTTTCACCTGCTCTTGATGCAGATGGAGTGACAACGACGACCGAGGTGATGACTTCCGTTTGCGATGGCGGTGCTGACGATGCGGTAACTACACGCGTAGAAGCAGGCGGTGCCGCAGAGCTTGCTGGTGGTGCTGCTGCAGCAGAGGACTGCGGTGCAGGAGCGCTCGATGCTGGTGGAGCTGCCGAAGATTGCGGTGCTGGGGCGCTCGATGCTGGCGGTGCGGCCGACGACTGCGGTGCTGGAGCGCTCGAGACTGGCTCCGCTGAAGACGGTGGATTAGATGGCGCTGGAGCGGAGGACGCGGCGGGTGCTGATGATGGTGTTACAGACGGCAAGGGAGGAGACGAGACAGGACTCGAGGGCTGAACAAACGAAGGAGAAGGAAGCAACGTACTGGCAGTGCCATTGCTCGACATGGTGACGACAATTGCAAGGCTTCAAGAACGACAAGAATTCACAAGGCCAGGACGGCGACGGTGAGGCAACGAGGGCGGAGAAAGGTGTGACCGCGCAGTTTCAGAGGCCTCTGTGTTAGTGTCGCGGAGTGCGGCAGGTCAGCGTCTTGGAAGGTGGGACGCTGCTGTGAAAGGAAGGAAGAATGGGCGGTGATCTTGGTGCGTGTCGGCGTGGAGCCCAGAGTGATGATGTATGGCCCGGGATGCAGCCCAGCGGGAGAAGTTGGCGCGCACTGGGAGGTGAGTGGAGGAGAGGAGGTGGTGCAGGAGGGAGTGGAGTCGCGCGGGAAAGCAGGGCGATCCTCTACGAAGCCGGTGGAGTGCCACGGCCGCAACAAGCGACGCCCGGATGTTTTGCGCCGGCAGGGCAGGAGATTACCCTAGATTGTCGTGTGTGATAGCGATTGCAGACGTTACAAAACGCGCAGTGATGGCCTCAGTCGCAGCAGGAATTGGGCGACCCAGCTCACGGGCGTCTCAGCGTTTTCAGCAGCTCTGCCAAGGGGGCTCTGCTGCTTCAGCGCATGTGTTGACTGGCGGCGACAGCTTCCAGGCGGAAAAGCGGGGCCTAATGCAACCAGAATGTACCCAAATTGTTGCTAGCTGTACCCGCATTGGGGAGGTAACGAGAGCTGACACTGCGCTAAGCACGAACTCGGCGCGTGGCTGTGTGCATTTTGAGAGATCTCAATCTCGTGCTAACTATCATCTCCTCCTTGTGCTGGAAACCACAGCTCGCTGGGATCGCAGTCGCACGGCGCACGCAGGTTGACAGTATTCCTCGCAATTGCATCGTGCCTTGTCCGTGAGCCCTGGCTATCCCCTATCCACCCCGGTCCCAACAGCATCATCGTCTGCGAACGAGCTGCCAGATTCATTCCTCGCCCGTGCGCCTGTGATTGGCTCCGTGGCCACTCTAAATTAAGAAGTCAGAGTCTCCTCGGTATGTCGCAGGCCCGTCTCGTGTTTGAGCGACAGCGCAGCAATAGCGCCTTCGATGGGCTGGCGCTCAGAACGGCCATTACTAAAGCCTTATGCGTATTTTCGTGATTAAGCGTCACATGTCCTCGTGTCGTTCGTGATCGGCGGATTTCGATATTTTGTGCAGACCTTTCCCTCAGCTAGTGACGCGATTTTGGGATTGACTCCATCCTCCGATGTGGAAGTCATGGCTTAGACGGCCGTTGGGGCAATTCACGATAACGCTGCAGGAAGGCGCGATGGTGAGATGTCTTGAGATGCTGGTGGGCCTGTCATGCTTTAGTGTGCCTTTAGCAAACCGACCGCCACCAATACGGCTAGCGACATGGAAGCACCTGGAGTCGCAGTTTCAGCACAGCCACTGCAGGTCCATCATGAGTATTCGCTTTGTATTGTGACAACTAGCGTGTCGCATAGAGAGAGCACGTCTACAGGACGCCTGGGATCACCGCCTTTCTGCCCTCCAGCTTGTCCTTGCCAAACTTCTTCTCGTACCATCGCTTGCCCTGCAGCGCTCGCGGCAGCATCGTCATGATCTCGTTGATCAAGAAACTGCGTCCTGGATGGAACGCCCATCCCCCAATCATCCACCATCCCGCCCATTCGATCCATTCGCACAGGTAGTGCGCGTGCAGAACGTATCTGAAGAGGCCGTTCTTTGGGATCATGTAGATCTTGCCCATGCTCTCCACAGGCTTGCCAGACTCCTTGGCCTCCCTTTGCTGCTTGCGATTTGCTGCCCTCCTGATCTCTCGCAGATCGTCATCGTGAAACATGTTGCCCAGCAGTCCCCAGCACCAGATAACTAGTCCCACGAACATGAGTTCGGATCGATCTATCCAGTGTTGTTGCGACAGCGGGCCGTACCCTGCGAGGTAGCCACCAATAGATAGAGCGTTCATGACTTGGAACCCAAATGCAAGGAGCCATACGATTGGGTGCATGGGCGACATGCTTGGGTTGAGGAAGAGAGGTGCTGCGACTGCGCGGTATAGGTAGTGTATAACCTGCTTGATATTAGCTTCATTGCAATCGTACAATAGTGCAAGAGAAACTTACGAAGCAGCCCGCCAATGTCCAATTGCCCCAAGGTAGCTCGCTAATCCCCAGCTCTTGCGGAAGCGCGTACATGATGTACAGCAGAGTGATGAAGCCCGCCGACTCCATGGTCGCCCATCCTATCTTGCCATCGATGTTGAAGCGCGACTCAGTCGACGTCTTTCCCTGCGGATACCAGTCAAGTACCCATTGTGCAGTGGTGATCTGAGATATTAGCAAGAGGCGTGTCGCGTATGCGGGGCGTTACTCACAATTGGGAAGTAGGCCCAGACGCGACAAATCAGCTCCCAGTTCTCACACGTCGGAGGCAGCCAGCCTTCAATAATCGCCATTCTGCCCCTTCAGTTGCTGGTTTTGCGCGAGGTCGAAGTGTTTGAGCACACAGAAAGCGATAAGAGAGTTGTTTGTGGAAATCATGCAGGTCATGAGGTCATAGTATAAACACTTCCGTGCCAAGCCGACGTCGTGCAACTGTGCTGCTCGCGCTACTCGCCGGAACCAGGTCCACACCCCGTAAGTTCGGCTAAACTCGAACCTGACGCTACCCCACAGATCATTTAATATTACGAAACACTTTAAGTCCTCGGTAAAATCAATGAAAAGTCAAAAGATAGACTGAGACGCCAGATATTAGTTGGTATATAATTATTGCAAAAAGCAAGATCTCATCAATCATCCAGTCTCCTTAGCTCAATTGGGAGAGCGCCAGACTGAAGTACTCAGTCATTCTATCTGGAGGTATCGTGTAAGTACAGCAGCGTGCATACCTGAATTCTGCCGAGTATTAATCCGTCGCAGGTTCGATCCACGAAGGGGACATCCTCGTGCCTGGCTCCTTTGCCAGGATAATTCGAAATTTCTTTTTGGCATTTGATCCAACTTCTTGTCCAACGTATATACGCTGTAATCTTTTGGTGACTTGGAGTGAGTTTGTCCCAGCACAGACGACAAGAGTGTGTTGTGATACACCCTTTGGTGACAACGTACAGAGAATGAAATAGTCATGCGAGCAATTGCAAGGTGTAGTGTTGGGGGTGCGGAGTTTCACTTGTGCTTTTTTGAGCTTCACTGGTCTTATGCCTGGATGGTTCTTTGTCGTAGGCAAGTCCGTATGTTGGTGTATGACATGTTAGGACGCTATGTCGTCGTTGTCTTAGGGAACCCTCCACGCAAATTGGATGCACATCGTTGGCGAACACAGTACCTATATCAACATTGGACGATTGGGGCCTCTATCGAGTCTCGCGCAGCAGTAATTGTTTAACAATGAAATTCACTTTCCTGTCTAGTCTAAACTACCTTAAATCTACTGCCTGGCGCCAGAAGCTTGCATATCCGCCTCAGTCACCGGCGCTTCCTCCCTCATAATCTGCTCTGGCGCACGCGCCTCGTGCTTCTTATTGATACCCCTCGCACCAGGGGTAAGGTACGTGTTATCCAAGTTCGGTAAATCCTCACCAGGAGTAGGATGCCAGTTCTTGCTCTTCCATGGCGTGACACCAAGGATGTACATGGTGTCAATCTCCTCCAAACTCCTACCATGACTCTCGCATACGAAGAAGTACACGACCACCGCGCCGGCAAAACAGCACCCGGCGAATACGTAGCCGTAGCGGTAATCGATGGCGGATGTGATGTACGGCGTGAAGAAACTGATGAGGAAGTTGAAAACCCAATTTGATGCCGTAGCGAGAGCCATACACTTAGCGCGGTATCTAGATGGGTAAATTTCTCCGACAACAGCCCAGATGATAGGACCCCACGTCATCGCGAAAGCGGAGATGAACAGGCAAGCGAAGACGATCATGGCGTATCCGATGCCTTGGTTCGACGTTCCGTCATCGTTGGGAAGCGCAAAGTGGCCCAGCGAGGCGAACACAAGGAAGCACATGAACATCCAAAGCGCTCCGTAGATGAGCGAGGGCCTGCGGCCGTACTTTTCGACGATGTAGAGACCGGGGAAAGTCATGCCGAAGTTAACCGCGCCGAGGATTATCGAGGTTACGTATGAATTGGAGATGCCCACGGAGTCGAAGATGGTAGTGCCATAGTAGAAGTAGTAGTTTGCTCCAGTAAGTTGTTGCAGCGCTTGGAGTGTAATACCGAGCAATGTGCGGTACATCATACGCGGGCCAGTAAAGATCTCGTACCACGGATGATGAGCACCGCCAGCGCGCTCGGCTTCGAGTTTGGCCTCGATCTCGCGAATCTCGGTCTGCACATGCGGATGCTCCTCAGGGACACCATAGCTGAGCGCGATGGTGTGGCGCGCGCTGTCGATTTTTCCTTTGCGGTATTCCCATCGCGGCGATTCTTGCATGAACATGATGCCGACTACCATCAGGAATGACCAGATGAAGCCAATGCCCATGGGGATCTTCCACGAGCTTGCATTCCGGGTATTCTCAGTGCCAAAGTTGATGCAGTATGCGACGAAGATGCCCAGGGTGATGAAGAGCTGGTAGCATGATACCAGTGCGCCACGAACATATCGTGGGGCGGTTTCTGACTGGTACATAGGCGTGAGTACCGACAAACCGCCCACACCCAGACCAGCAACCCATCTGCCGAGAGATATCTGGTACCATGTGTTGGTTGTGGTGATTTGCACAATCACGCCCACGCAGAAGACGATATTCCAGAAGACGATCGAATATTTGCGGCCGAATTTGTCGGAGACTGGTGCAGCGATCAGGGCGCCTATGAGTGTACCAATAGAGAGCTGCGAAGGGATTAGTTACATGTGCTAGATGACTACGTGAGGATTGCATACCAAAGCCACGATCAGACCTGACTTCCAATTGCTGAACTTCAGATTGCCATCAGCGTCAGTCTCATCGGCGAATCTCTCCAGGAAGTCAGGCATCTCCAAGAAGCCGCTGATCTGTCCAGTGTCATAGCCAAAGATGAAACCACCCATTGAGACAATGATGGCCATGGCGATGATTCTGGGTCGGAAGATTTGGCGCATGCCAATCTCCAGAATCTGAGGTTTCTTCTCAACATCTGCAGTCGAAGACACTGGCGAGGGCGAATGCGCCCTGAAGCGATCAAAAATCGCCATGATTGAGAGCGGTAGAAGGAAATTTGCTGGATTGGATGGGTCGTGCTACAACACCGTGGGGACTCCAGGACCGTTTTAAACACCCACTTCTCTCCACGATCCCGCCTTCCCAAATGCCGTCATTGTGCACATGGCACCTAAAGTCCGCATTTCCAACCTCACGGTATGCGTCGGTACTCGAGCTCGGTACCAGACAGAAAGACGTCATGTTTGATACCAGCCCTGCAAGCACTGCAAACAGCGGGCGTTAGCTTGACTCGGAACGTTAAGCACGGGCTGTTCACTCTTGGCCAATGTCAAACTTCACCAAGCGTAGTCTTCCGACTGGCGCGGGTCAAATTCGGTATCCTTGAGGGTCTTCTTCCCTGTGCAAAGTCTGATAAGGTCAGGATGCAGGCTTCGATCACCGTCACTTGTGGAGCTTTGATGGAACGGTAACCGTCAGGTGCAGCGTGAGAAGTTCTATCGGACCGTATCAATGCGCTCGCCGAAGTCAGCCGAGATAGAGCCGTGCTGAAGCACTGCATACAATGCCATAGCGGATGCTGTCTCGCTCAGAAAGAGAGAGCAGTATATCACCTGACACCCAATGTTGTGCAAAAGGCGGCTGATAAGAGTTCACCAGTCGACCATCCTTCACGCAAAGGCATAACGGCGGAAGACAGCAAGACGACCCAGTGGTCAACCGCTGAGACCCACTACGGCGACGGTGAGTGACGGATGAACAAGTGCGGCTCTGCGAGTGGCGTACAGAGATCCACTTTGTTGTGAAGTTCTTTCTGCGCAGGAGGTCGTTGCATAGCCTGTGACCTGGACATTGTCTCGTCGGTGTGAACGGTGACCGACGCTACGTCATCGGAAGGTCGTGCGAAGAGACGAGCACTGAATTAAGTTGCATGGCGATTACCCATTGTATGGTGCCTGGCGTAAGACTGGTGTTGAATCCATCCGACTATTGTTTCGCGGAGTTTTGATGACAGTTGAGATATTGAGGTTCCATTTTCCTCGGTCCGAGGTAGAAGCAATGGTCGCACCTCCCTTTCCCGAAATCTTTTCCCCTTTTAGCAGTAACGAGATTGCCATCGAAACCAGCTGCACAACCACGGGAACAGCTCACGACGGACTCTCCACCTCATTTCCCTCGTGTCAGTCGACAGAAGCTTATACCCACTTCATATGCCCTTTGCAGTAAGTTCTTCGACCAAGTGTCGAAATCAGCAACAATTGCACGGGTCCAAAGTCCGACTTTTCTCATGGCGTTGAGACAGTCTCGCGAAACCACGGGTCCGCCACGCCACGTCTCATGTTGTACCAGTCCTCCAGGAAGGCAATTTGCGGCTCCATTTGCCCTGTCGCGGCATCCTCGAGCAGGCCAGAAGCACGTTATTGTCTAGTAGTAAGAGCACTGCGACAGGTCGATGTGCCACACCAAGACCAGGTCAGCAGCGGAACCCTTCCGCCATACTTACCGTCGTGCCACTTCTTATTGCGTTTTTCAGATGGATCTTCTAGCCATATATGCTGAGTGTTCCAGAAGTACAGTCGCAAGAACATCAGTCGGCTGCCCAGTACAATGAAGTCTCTAGTGTGAAGTCTTTGCCAGTCTGCATTTCCTAATCCGACTCTGCTAACTTCTTTCCGACTACTCCACGTGCTCTGGAGCTTGTGTTCAATCGACCCCACGAACTCTCCGTGGGGTAGGCTATTATTCAAGCAGGGTCCGATACACACAGTGGGCGGTCATACGTTGTGCTTTATCAGCTCCCTTACAAGCGTTCGGCAACTTCTTTCCTATGCTCAACTATGAGATCATGGACCCATGAAAGCAAGTGAGTGACAAGCGTTTCTAAGGTCTTGGAGTCATTCTTATCTGTGCTTACTCCAATCGGGGTAACTCCAACTGCTGCGATAACGACCAACTGCACCAAGCAAGGCAATTGATCGACGCGTCCTGAACATCACAGCGCGTTTCTGCGACACGGGAAGGATGCATGCCCTGGCTTATCGCGTGTCGTTCAGACCTCAGAACTCTCGATTGCCACTGTCACTTGTCACTGTGTACAATCAGCAATGGATATCACAACGTTGGAGGCGATCTACTCCGTCGTGCCGCCGCCGCGGACATATCTTGGCCGGCAGATGTTCATGCAGGAGCGTTGTCGTTGATGCGTCAATGGCTCCAACCCGCAGAAATTTGAAGACGACATATATGCCTTTCCTGTGTCCCAACATATCGAGTCGCGAAGACGCTCGCTGTTTTCGCAACGATCAAAACAAGACCTCCAGATGGCGGACACAACCAAGACTCCCCTCCCAGTTGGGGCCGGTTATGGTACGAAGCAATGAATATGGGAACCTTTTCTGGCTAACATTATCAGGCGTTGTTGTGGGCATCGGTTTTTTCTTCGCGTTTCTGATGATGTTCATATCATACCTTCAAAACCGCTACACGAAGTACTCAACGCATCAATCTGAAGAGTTTAACACAGCATCGCGCTCCGTGAAGCCCGGATTGATCGCCTCTGGAATCGTCTCGGCCTGGACGTGGGCTGCCACTCTCCTACAATCGTCGACTGTGGCATATACGTATGGTGTCGCTGGCCCATTTTGGTATGCCGCGGGTGCCACTGTACAAATTCTCATGTTCTCGATTCTGGCATGTAAGGTCAAGCAGAATGCGCCGAGATGCCACACATATCTCGAAATCGTCAAGGCCCGATATGGGGCATTCGCACATCTCGTATTCATGTTCTTC